TCAAAAAAAAATATTATAACATTTTAAATTATGGAATTAGGAACATCAAATACACCGGATAAACAATAGTAAACAAAAAACACATTACTGATTTAAGGAGATGAAAATTTAAAATTTAAAAATATTACTTTGTATAATACAATAACGGTTGAACGGCAATAACTCTTAAAATCAGATAAGGTTCATTAAATATTCCTAAGCAATAAGAATGTCGGATATAACTTATTTTTAAATTATTCTTTGTAGGTACTAAGTTTCTAGGCAGTCAAGTATATTATTAAGTAGTAAATACTTATGTATAGTAAAATAAACGGAAGACGGTCTGTCTATCTATACATCAAGTATAAGTATTTCAAATTTATAGAAAATGATAAAATGAACATATGGTGTTATTGGTTTAAATTTCAAGTAGGTATCTACGTTTATTTATAAGAACAATTTTTATGAATTTTGAACTTAAAATAATTTGCAAATGTTTGTAATTTTTACAAATGTTGTTAAAATTCGTACTTCAGGCGCTCATAAAAAATGATTGTGGGCGTACGCTTGACTTTTTTTTTAATTTTCCACTCACAAAAACTTATGAGGAACCTTGTATTTCATAATTTTTAAGTTTTTTATCAAGCAAAATTTTCACCGACATTGTTTTAAAACAAAAACCAATAATAATCAAAAATTGTACATGCCCATAAATAACTCAACATGAGTCAAAATATTTTGAAAATTGTATGTTGTATAGAAAATCAAGTTAGTGAAAGAAAATATTGTTATGGATTTCAAACGTTTAATTGTGTCTTATAATGATAATTGTATTAAAGTGTAATGAAATTAGCATACAATTATTTAAGTTATGATGTGCTAACATCTGGTAAAATCGTTAATATATATAATATATTGTATGTAGTTAAGCACTAGAAATATAATCTTTGGGTCTTGGGTTCGAGGAGCCTCCCGCTAGGTGCCACTTTGTTATAATTTAAAATAACAATTAAGGCATTAATTAATGCTCTAGGAATTTGATCACTAATAGTATTAAATAAATAAAGATATTACGAAAAAATATATATATGTAAGCATATCTTTATTTATTTATTACTATTAGTTATCAAATTTTTAGATATTAAATATCATTTTAAATTACAACAAAGTGGGTATACCTAAATATTGTACTATTGTATATAGGTAATAGCCAATAGGTACTAAACGTACATAAATAATATATTATATTAATAATCATTCAGTTCAACGTGATGGTGTTATCACATCATTGTCCATACCCTAAACGGCCTAAACAGTCCAAACCACTTCATCCTTATCTGCTAATAATTAACAATATTTTTTTTGTAAACTTAGTAGGATATGTTGTTTGTGTTATTTAATGGGCGACAAAGTGTGAATATTGAAAGAGAAACTCACTACACGCGCTTGCACGTGGCTTAGCACGTGCCCCAATCGGTTGCACGTGTTACAGTTTAAATAAAATAACAATGTACGGTGACTAGTATTTATTTAAAAATAGCAATACATACCTATAGACTATAACCTATACAATATAGTGGTAGGGTTGCACTCTAGTATTATAGTGGTATATGATTAAAATATTGAATCAAAATTAAATTAATGAAATTAATAAGTGCCTACACGGTATGGACATAATTTTTTTAATCGTTTTTACTTGTAAATTAATTACGCTTATATTGTATTTATGATGTATATTATCTACTTGTAAATTACCTTCTGCTACATATAGACAGTAGGTTATATGAATATTTACTACTATTAATATTCATACTATTAAAGGTATATATAGAAAAAATATGGTTTATTTATGGTAGAATAATTGATTTTTTATCTTAAAAATTATATAATTTACATATAATTACATAAATATAACAAAATGCATCGTACACTTATATTTCGAACAGTGTAGTTTATATGACGACGTGACGTGACGCTTAAGAACAGCAAGCGAATCATTGATTTGTTTTCTGCTGTTACCCCTCTGGGAAAGATAGCACCTGTTTACGAACACACAAAATGTATAGTGTATAGTCATACAGCATAAGGTAAATAGAGAGAGAGAGAGAGAGAGTTAGATGTTAAACAAATGCGTCTGTTTGTTAAGTATAGTTTTCAAATTTTAAAAGTATAAAATGATGTACCATAATATTTGTATTTAAATTAAAATTCAAGCGATAGTGTACCTATAAGCCAAGACAAATAGTTAAATAATTAAATTTGATATTTTTAAGTATACAATTTGTATAACTTTGAATTACATTTAATTTGCACAAATGTATGCATTTTATTAAAATTCAATCAGAGATGGTAAATTGTAGATTCTAAGAGGAAACAAATGTAGGTACCTAATGGTTTTATAATAATGAGGGTTTCTTAGAAATATTATGTTGTGTGCCTATGACAATGTTTTAAAGGAAAAAAAATGCATTTGAAGTTAAAAAGTTGCCAAAGTAGGATATTTTAATGAAAATTAAAGATGCAGTATAGGTACTCATAATGATTTTCATTATTTTCTTGTAATGAAATAGTGATGCTGGGTTTCATATGTACATAATTTATTAATTTAATGGACCAATCATGGGCCACTAAATGTCTTACTCATGTTTAAAGGACCATTAGCTCATTATTAATCGTTGAATGATTGTACATTGATTGTTCATGCAACCCGGCGTTAGTGTGAGAGATATACAACTTTATTTATATTTTTTTTTTAATTTTCTACACAATGAAATAATAATTCAATATTATATAATGTACGAGTACACGGTATTTTTGGAAAACATCCGCTCAACTTACAAATAGTTGTATAAATGTTTTCTAAAATAAAGGTACTTATAATTTATAAATAAATGCAAGTATAACGTCTCAGAATCGTTTTCGTATTCAATGACTCATCATTAAATTCAAATGTACACATCCATATAACAGAAACCTATAGCCTATAGGATGTTAATGACAATATAAACACGAAACTTCATACAGCAGGCGGCGACTACCACGGTTCTTTTATTTTCATTGTTATAACTTATAACTGTCTATATATGTAATATTTAATACCACAATAATTTTGCTAGAGTAAAAATTATCGTGTATAGGAAAAGTCCTGATTATATATTATTGGTATAAGTACAGCCATAATCATAAATGGGTATTATAAATCTTATAAGTAGATAGATCATATAGGATAGATACGTATAATATGGTAGAAAAATAGAAAATGTCATGTTAAATAATAATAATTGTTTGTAAAATCATTTAAAACTATTGAAGTTATTATCTATAGTTTAATTATAAATACTATAGAAATTATAATTGAAAATAGTAAGACATTTGAAAATTGTATGATATTCAACTTTTACTTTTTAAACAACTTTAAACAAAAAAATATATCTATGTTGGAGTGTCTATTTTAACATATATTTTTCATACATCAAACGGGTTGTTTAAGTATTTTAAAAGGTATACAAAAGTTCGTAAATAAACAGTTCGAATAGTAATTCGCAAAGTAGGCAGTTTATTTAAAATAATATAGGTAACGTATTGATTTAATGGTACTTAATAATATATTCCTAACTTTAAGAATTAAATGATTTATATTATTTTTGTTTTTATTTACTATAGAAAACAGACTTATTCAGTCAACCACGAAAGCATGATACTGTGGTTTGTGAATCAGTTTCATTGGATAGAAAATTTAATTGTAGATAGTTAATCGTTAAAATGATAATATTATGCGTCTTTTAAAATCAAATGTAATTGACTCGGGTTATTTTATCATTGCCTATTGGTGTATTGAATTGGTTACAATAATTAGGTTACTATTTTTTTTACCATTTTAATCTACTGTTTGATACTTTTATCTAGGATAATATAAGTAACTTAACATTTTTGGTACATTGTTAAAATTAGCCGTTTTGTCTTATGATTGTTATAGGCTATAATAAAAATATAATTTTTAATTAAATTGAAGCATAAAACGGATTTGTATACTTACTAAAACGATTTTCAACTTTCAACTTTCAATGTAGATATTTATGTATAGTAACTACAAAGACAATAGATATAATATTAATATATAACTTCTATGTATTATATATAATCGTATGCATTGATTTGGTTTATTATTGAATCAAAAATATAGAAATTAGCCATAATCTATAAACCACTAATAATGTAGCCTAATATAATATGGTAATAATTAGTATATTATTTGTATAAATATAGCCACTATAGGAAGGTTATAGTATATATAGTATATTCTATATATACACAGAATACAGCACTATAATATGTCAGTTTATAGGTAGGTATAATGTATATAATATAATAAGTATATTTTATACCTGCATATCATCTATAAGTCTGTCTAAATAAAGGCGGAACCAACTATAAATACATCCTGAATTTTAGATGAGTCTGTACAGATTTTATCTCTGAGATCGTCTAGATTTAGGTGGTAGTAATATTTTTTTTATAAATTGAGGGAGTTATTGATTTTTTTTAAATGATGAGAACTTATTGAACTCTTGTTCGATTTTCTTGCGCATCGATAGAGTTTTTCACAATGGATATAATTATATGTATTGAGGTGATTTTTCAATACTTCTATAAGTTGTTCTCCTGAAGTAGGGAGTTGATTTGAGCCTGGCAAATGGTTAGGCTTAAATTAGGCAGATAAGTATGGTATACCTTCAACAAGTTTTAATTCCTACATGGCTTGATGTTAGTTTGAATTTTCTTAAATCAAGTAAATCCGTGGAGGGATAGTTACTGGCATAGGTAATGAATATTCGGAATTGGATTTGACTACTTGTGCAACAAACCAGTATATTATATTTATCACATGTAGTTTTTTTACTAAAGATTTTTAGTTCTAAATTTGTATAATAGTTATGCTTATGTAATAAAGTTCAATATTTAAAATAACCATAATTTTTGTACTTTATATAATATAGTCTATACGTATAAGTTTATTTATATTACCAATAATATATATTAAATTTAATCAACATTTTAATGGAGTTGCTGAAATACTTTGTCATTCTACTATAAAATAATACAAATTTATTAAAAAATGTCAAGTTTTATTTAGCCATATAGGTAGTGGACACTCGTCTCATGCCTGAGATACGTGTATGAAATATTGTGATGCAGCAGACTACTGCATAAGAATTTAAAATTGGTGTAAATACTTTTATACAAGTATTAGAATAAGGAAGAAAGTACCTAACATATAAATGCAGCCTGCATTTTATTATAAATATCATATTGTATGCGTACACTTTATAGGGTCACGAACTTATACGTGGGTGGAAGGAAGGGTGTATATTGGGGCGGTGTATGGGCGTGGTATCGCGACTACTCGTCCTTTAACTGGCACGCCTCGGTATATTGGATACTTGCAAGTTGATTCGGCAGTCTCTGCAGCAGCGTTCCGGTATCCGCTTGTGTTTGTCCGCGTCTCCGTGCATTGTGCAGTCTACACACTTAGATATATACCTACCAATTATAATATTAAAATAACGATTTAAATAAACCGTCTACACGCTCACTACACCCAACGATGGACCATCATCAACATCATTATCAATTGAATCACCATGGTACGGCGCACCATTATCACCCACCACCATACACAAGAGACTATTTCTTGTATGAATACTCTTCTGGTTCCGAGTCTGATGGCACGAGCTCGCTGAACAGTGACTGCGATTCCAGCAATTGTGGTAGGTGTAACTATTTACACATAAGACAGTAGTAAATTAAATATAATTATTTGTTTTAAAGTAGAAAAAGTATTTTATATCATCAAATAATGGATAAAACACCAGTAAATCTATTAAAAATAATAATTTAATATGTTTGAGTTTCGCATAATAATTAATAACATTTAAAAAATGCCCAGAAAATAAAGCAAGGATCCTAATTGGCTAGGCTCATTATAAGGTATAGTTGAAAAGAGGATATCCAAAGTGTATCGTTTTTACTTTTTACCTTTTGCCCGATTGTCCGCATTCTTATCGACAAATAACATCCAATAACTTGAATGCATCTGCGGTTACTGGTGAGGTTACAGTCTGTATTCTATGTAAGTACTCTGTTCATCTTGCCACCCGAAAAGTTAGGCCAAACATACCTATAAAAGAATGTCACTTCCACTAAGGACAAGCATGAGGCGTATTGACTTTTGATACAACATTTTTGATTGAGTAAAGATAATTGCCACCAAACAGAAATAAATTTATTTTTGAACAATATATATGGATTACAATTTACAGCTATTAAGTAAAGAAGATGCTGAGAAATGTTTTGTTGAACATTTTATACATCAATAATTTCGAAAACATAAAGAACTCAATGCATCTATGGATTATTCGACGGAAAATTATATTAATTTTGAAACATTAAATGTCCACATTCAGTGTGAATAGATAACACAAGTGTAACGTTGTGGAAAGACAACAAATGCACGTAAATGTTTCATTCCAAGTAACCAAGTAGGTACATTCTTAAACTAAACACATATACCGTCCAAATATTTATTTACATTTTGAAAAAAAAATGTTTAAAAAAAATGTAAGATTGAAACTAAAATAGCAATTTTAAAGGCCACTCAGAGAACAAGGAAATAAAGAAAAAGTACATGTAAGAAAATTGTATTCATAAAAAATCATCGTCAAAAAATGATATTTTTTCTTGGGACTCGTTTTTGAGTGGTATATACTATATAGCCACCTTATTATTTCGAACGCACTCGAGACATTTAACCAGGATTCTGAACGCACTCGGAAAACTCTCGAGGAGAATTATAAAGGTAGTTCTATAGTGTCAAATAAATAGGTATGATAAAGTGAATTGAGTTTCTCTGTTAATGGAATTGCTCCCTAAAGTTGATATCTACTAGGGTCTAAGAGGCATAGGAGCGACTAGGTTTTAAATTATTGGGGGGGGGGGGGCTGCAGCCCATCTAACAAAACTGTTAGTTTAAAATAACCCATAGTAGCCTTATTAAATCTAAATCAATAAGGGATATTTTTGGGGTGTTCTTTGCGATTTAAACCTCCTAGCTCCCCCAAGTAGCTCCAATGGAGGGTAGGTAAATCATTAAAACCAGATATAAGTTTATTAATATAAACGTTATGATGGTTATTTTCTAGTCGTCTGACAGACTTCGGCCAATAGACATGTATAGTTCAAATATAGGTATATTTTAATGGAAAATCAACGAAACTCAAGAATTTTCTTTGCCCTCGAGGCTTAACCATTTGCCAATTTTCGATCATAAAGCTGTAACAGGATTTAGCACGATGTAGATACCAATTAAAATAACACTATTGAACAAAGAAGGAGTTAATTACGAGAATGTCAACAGAAAAAAAACACCACTATTAAGCTTAAAAATCGTAATTACGTTGCCACATCTAATGTATAATAATATTATATTAAAAATAAATACTTTTTATAAATGAAAATATCAGTATATTTATTTAAAAAAATGAAATACTTACTACTTAAAGATTTGTATAGGTAACATTACAATTTAAATCACTACTGACGTCCGTCCAAATAACGTCTAGTGTAAAAACCGTTTGATGAAATAAAAAATATCCATATATTATAGATATCTAATGACTAATTATAATAGTATAATATCAATATGGGAAATCATAAAATGATTATTACAACTTACGTACCTACCCCTTGGTTATAAACACAAAATATGATAACTATACAGTGTACTCTCGATTATCCGCGGAATAGGGTGGCAGGAGATACACTAATAAACGAATTCCGCAGATAATCCGCAAAACATTCTAGGGTCTAGTATTAAAGGAACATAACATAATATGTACATACATTTGTTTTAGCGTATTGTATTTTACGCCGTTATCGAGTAATCGGCTATCACAAATTATCAGCCAATTAAACCGACAATGATTTATAATGTATTAATGGAAATATATGTATGTATATATATATATTTTGCATATATATATAGGATGTAGATGATTCCGTGGAAGACGGCGGATAGTCCACTCGCGGATAATCGAGGGTACCCTGTATAACAATTATACAATATTGCAATGTATCTAAAATTCACTCAAGTTGTATAGACTAGTAAAAACGTTAACACATAAGTATTAAGTAAGGTATATATTGTATATACATATATTATGTAACCGGGTTTTGGTTTTAATATGCAGTATGGAAATGAGATGTAGCTACCTAGGTATACTTGCCTTCAGCCTTGTACCAATTAAAATAATTTAAGTTTTATTCCGATTTATGTATGATAAAAATGTACAATATTTGTTTATACATTTACAGTACTTAAAAATGATCGAAAATGCAGTCACATTTTTTATAAGCATCTAAAGATTCAAATTTTGACAAAATTCGTCAAAATCAAATATAACATGTAAATTATTTTTAAGAATAAACGCATGGCGTTTTTTTAATTTTAATATCTAAGACTTGGAAATCGAATACAAGATTTTTCATAAGTTTTAATTATTGGAATTTAAAAAAAGTTTAGTGTGAAACCACATTTATGTTTTAAGCCCGTTTGAAGTAAAAAAAAAAATGTTGACGAAATTGGATATTCAAACACATTTATGCTTAAATGATTTTTGTTATATCTCTTAAAATGTACTTACAATGCACTTTGCAGTTGGTTCAGGTCGTAAGAAAAGTTCAAGGTGTCACAGACAAAAGACGCAGCAGCGCCAAGCAGCGAACCTGCGTGAAAGGCGGCGCATGCAGAGCATCAACGAAGCATTCGAAGGGCTTCGGGCGCACATACCCACATTGCCGTATGAGAAGCGCTTGTCCAAAGTGGACACCTTGAAGTTGGCCATCGGTTACATAAACTTCCTGTCCGAATTGACCCGCGGCACAGGACCGACAGGAAATGGCGTCACATCTTTGAACGTGGCTAAACTTACGACGATCGCCGGTCGCCTACATAGACCACCGGTGCAAGTCAAAGAACAACCTGTCAAGAAGTTTATTGTCAGAGGTAAAATTAAGACTTTAGTACCTAACTAAAATTTTCAAATTTAACTTAACGCAGGGAAGAAAGTAACACATTTAATTGTTACTCGTTCAAGTTTTAACTTAAACCATTTATACTTATATACTATACCTATATTATATACCGGACACCACAGGGTACCTATATATATTTATGACAATGGCGTAAATATGACTTAATTTGTGGTGACGAAGAGGAATGTTTACTTAACTTCCTTTCATTTATACCATCCCAATCCAAAAACCATTTTTCATATAAAAGTATAAAAATAATTTAAAGTTTTACTTCAAAAATGAATTTTCACGATTTATGAATATATCTTTTATATCTCTATTGTGGGTACCTACCTATATAAATTTTAAAAATGTGGTAAAATTCTTATTCCTTATTTCAAACTAATATTTTATGCATCCTTTTTAGTCTTATTCAGTGGCGTAACACACAAAGTTGCCCCCCCCTCAAAAATACAAAATCAGCCCCTAAAATATTGTTAAGGTAGTTTAGATAGGTAGTTTAAAAACATTAATCTGATTATACATAGGTAAATATACCTTATTTTAATTAAAATGTTGTTATATGATAAAAAATAACAATGTTCATTTAATATTACACAATTATTACTTAATGTATAAATTACAACGTTTTGCTGAATTAGTAAGTTAACAATATATATAATATTATTTAGTTTTTACTATTTATTACATAGACCTATTAACTTAGTTAATAGGTCTATGATTTATTATATATATTAGGTATATACATTGTTTATTTTGTTTTATCAAATGGGTACACCAGTCTGCTAGCCCTCAGCTACGTCACTAATATTATTCCTTTTAATAAATCATATCATAATATTATATTATCAAATACTTAAAGTCATCAATTTAATATTTAATCTGCAATGATATTACTATATTAGTTGAATTCATGTGTTGCCTTTTTAAAGGGTTGTAATGTTGCTAACTATATAGCTGTTCTTAAAATTATCGTCATTTGATAACAATAAATACCTACCTAAATTATACCATATTCGTGTTATAAAAAAGGCTATTATATTATGTAATATTAAAATACTTTCCAGAGGTCACCAACTAGCCCCTTTTCGACTGTAAATTATTCTGCTGATAATTTTTCTGAAAAATTTGAAGTAACAGAATCAAAATTCGTACTAGAAGTTTTTGAGATATTCAACTATGTTATCTAAGGATTGAAGGTCCATATGATCAGTGACAGAGGTCCCCCCCTATAAAGTGAGGAAATCATGCTCAGACACTACATGTTTTCGTCCACCGCTCGGTTTACGTCTTAATTTGAATAAAGTAGAGTACATTATGAAAAATAGGTAATTGTGATGGTAGGTAATAATTAATAATATCATATACAAGATTAATATTCATTATTCAATAGAGTTGTAATTTCCTGTTTGAATTTAAATTGAAATCCTTCAACAATTTTTCAATATTGAGGATTTCTATCCATTTTTATTCAAATGCCAATATTGTAATGTTCGAAATCCGATTATGAATCATTGATTGTCTCTGTGAATTTTCGATTCGTGTTAAACACGATAATGTTGATTGACAAACCGCTGAGCTACATCAAAATATTTCAACCGATAGTATCATTCCGTAGGTGCCTCTAAATTCTTAACGTTGTTTATTAAGTTGTTCTATGTAATCGATTTTTGACTTAATACGGCGTTCATTGACAAAATAACGACAAATCGTTTTTTCTGGTACTCGGTTTACGCGTTACATTACAGGTACCTACGTAGTTACATCATCAAAGTTTTTAACTATTTTTAATTACAGTGTAAGTTCCATATATTTTCCAAGATGTTGAAAGATGTTGGTGTACAGGGTAGGTAACCCTTACCATAAGTCCAGGGGTAATATTTGTGTCTAGGTGGGGGGTCAATATTCCCATTTGACCGCTATACTCTCGCCATAACTGCGTGGCTATATATATATGTATATAAATATATCGTATTTTATTATTTGATCAAAAATAATAAATTGATGAATAAATAACCAACTTGTTTTGTACCTAGCGGCTAGCTCAAATTACAATCGGTACCTAAACTGCTGCAGTTATATTTTTAATATTTTGTTCATATATTATATTATTATTATGAGTATATCTATACGCAATACTTCAAATAAAATGAAAACCCATGGTAGATAATATAACATATTGTAAATTTCAGGTGCGTTTGGGACTCCATATTCATTACATTCGTTGTCTTGGTCGAGGGCAAAAGAAAATTGTCCAAATAGTGCAGGAGTAATGCGAGCAAAATTATGGAGGCCTGAAGTAGGGTCACCGCGTAATTCTGGATCTACTTCAACCTCGACGAGTTCGACATCTTCAAGTAAAACCTAATAACTCGACACTCGACATAATATATAAGACGACTACTAATTATAATGTATAGATTATAATTTATAAGTTATTTACATACTTTATGTCTATATTCAGTTGTTTTTACTCCTATTTAAACATTTTTACTCTAATATTAACTGTATTATTTTTTGTATAGGCATTAGGTACCTATACCTACTTGTTTTATTATTGTTTAATATTGTTAGTTCATATAGTATGGCGTGTTTATTTTTTTTTCAATTAACAGTTATATATTTTAATCATGTCTATCTTTAAAATAAAATAAAATACATAACTACCTATTTTTTTACAATTTCTATTGTGTAAGAAACTAGTTACATATAGGTCAGTGATACAGTGTCCAGTGGTAATAAGCGTATGATGATGTTATTATCATCCCCCGTGCAATTTATAGCCCATAAGTTATAATATCGTTTTGTGGTTGGAGTAGATAGTTGATTAGTAGAACATTACCTATCGCCTATCAGTGGCATTGTGAAATGTCTTAAATCTATAACTTATAAGGCCAACACAATTTGGGACACCCACCTGCACCGATATAAAACATAAATTACTTTTTTGAGGTGGCTCAGGTTATTGATGCTCGCCAAAATATTTGTAATATTTAAGTGACTACACTAAATCCCCACCAAGATTATTCTCTAAATTTGCTGTTGTGGATAAGTTGGGCTAAATTTTATAAGGAATAAGGAATTTAAAAAAATTTAAGATAACAACAATTATAATGTTAATAATTTTTAAACAACTTTAAGTTGGAATATACTCAGTATAGATAGTTTAGAAAATCAGATTATTTTACACACATTATTTGATTATTTATAGACTAAAGAATGTACGTATACACTATACATATTTAAAAAAAACAATATACGTAATAAAAATACCAATTAAAATAAATAATATCTAGGTACTAAATAAATAACTGATTTATTACTTTTTAAACTAAATAAACTTAAGAATAATCCTTTATTGTGGAACTATTGGAAATACTAAGTTCTAGGTTATGACTTATGACTAACCTAGCTCAGGTATTATTCCAATAAAGTATATCTATCAGCTTATAAAATATATATATATTATAATATAATGTGAATTTAACTAATTTAAGAAACAAGCATTTCAAAATACTAACCAACATTATAGATAATACAGTGCAGCTTGGTCTACGTCAAGTAATGTTAACTGTAATTTTTGTCCATTGAAATTTACAAAAATTCGAGATTTTTTCTAAATTTCAAGGATTTTTTTCTTTTTTAAAAATAATGAATTGAAAATGTGGCTTGAGTCTTGAAGGATCCAAAGTTGATTTACCAACAAAATAAAATCTTTTTTCAAAATTTGTGTACCAAAAGGTAGTATCCGCCTCGCATACGCGCATTGTCACCCATACTGCCATTTTCTACAGGACTATGTATATAAATCACCGTGTAAAACAGTCATGTGTTTTAGGGGAAATAAATACATATTAATCGTGGTAAGGTTACAGTTGCAAGCTTGCAACCGTGATAAAATAAACTTTACTTTATCATGATTTTTCTATTCTGTGATACTAAGAAAATCCCATCGAATCATGCACAAATCAATCAAATCATATCTACATTCTACATTTTAAAATTTAATATATTGAATTATACTCTATTAACAAAAATGAAATTTTAAATTTTAATGTTTTCTAGTATCAGACTAGGTGTGTAATTTTTTGAATTCCTAATCTAATCGATTAGGACTTAGGAGTTTGTCACTACTTAATCGTATTAATGTCCATATTGCTTTAGTTTTCTGGTTTAACTTTTTCAAAATATGGCTGAGTTGGTGTTGGACATCAATATTCGAGGTTGGGTTTTCTTACCAATTGTACTGATTACATTTCTTGTCGGTGTCATTCGGCATTATGTGTCATTATTAATTACATCTCAAAAAAAGGTTGAGCTGACACAAGTACAAGATAGTCAAGTACTAATTAGATCACGCATGCTACGTGAAAATGGTCGATACATATCTAAACAAGGATTCTACATGCGTCGACATTACTTTAACAATGAAGAAAATGGTTACTTCAAGACCCAAAAACGAGCAGCTCCTGCTCAAACAGCTATGCCTGATCCAAGTATGATGACTGAAATGTTAAAAGGCAATGTAACCAACGTCTTGCCAATGGTGGTCATTGGTGGTTGGATCAATTGGATGTTTTCTGGGTTTGTGACTACCAAAGTACCATTTCCTTTAACTCTGCGATTCAAACCAATGTTACAAAGAGGTAATTTGCTTAATGTGACCTGTTATTAACAGCTATAATTTTTTTTTCTTTTTTAGGTATTGAATTGGTTTCATTAGATGCAGCTTGGGTATCATCTGCTTCATGGTATTTTTTGAATGTATTTGGACTTCGAAGCATATATGCACTAGTTTTGGGTGAAAATAATGCTGCAGATCAATCACGTTTGATGCAAGATCAAATGTCTGGTGCTGCAATGTCCATGCCTATGGATCCAAAAGTAGCTTTTAAAGCAGAATGGGAAGCATTGGAAATAAGCTCTCACAAATGGGCCCTGGCTGATCTCGATAATGAAGTGCTTAATGTATTATTGAATAAAAGTATTAAGTAGCAATTTGAGCTTTGAAGTGAACATGGTTTTACTATTCCAAACAAGGTGTATAAAGATTTAAGTGAAAACTATAATTGTTTTTCTTTTTTAAAATATTGCTTTACTTTAAAATTAAACTTTTTATGTAGTGTTCATGTATTTAATTTTGGTTTTGTATGAATTAAACTTATAATTAAAGTGATCTATTTATTCGTCCATGTAAAATTATTTATCTTCATTAGTGTGGTATTAATTTATAGTCCCATTAAATTTTGTTTTTAATAATCATATTTGATCTTAATGTTACAACAATTGTATATGCAATAAGTTGCATTTAAATTTGATTGAAAGTTTTAGTTATTATGGACAACACACTGCCACAATACTACTAATTTCAGTAACTAGTCACATGGTATATAGTGGTACATATGTATGCATAGCCGTGTATTGGGCCCTTTGCTATTCGTGCAAATTCTGAGGCTTTGTCTAATGTTTAAGCTACAAAAAAAATAGTACAAATTATAACCCACGAGGATGAGGTATGAAGAAAGCCTTAATCTTTGAAAATAGATTATTCAGTTTTAATACTTTTTCAAATATTTTACCAATGATTTGTACAATAAAGGCATATTACATTTTTACTCAATTAAAGATATTCGAACTGGGATATTATGTACCCATATGTCATACTATTTATAAATAGTTTGGTTGGCTGGTGGATTCAAATAGACAAAATATTTTTACCAATTTCTATGAAGTTGTTACCAAATTTGTTGTTACACCAATACCAGTCACCAGTAGTGGTTGTAAGCGGGCCTTCTCCAAATATACAATAAGTAGTCAAATTTAAACTAGTCAATATTGTTTCTTAAACGATTGAAATCACTTTTTTATTTATTTTTTGAGGCCCAATTAAGGTAAATGGGCCCATTTTCTTCGAGGCACACCCCATACTAAATTCCTGAGTACTTATTTGATTATATTGTATAATAAGACAAATAAAAGTTTCATTTTGAATAATTTGTTTTGGTATGATTCATAAGTGTGTTTTTATTGTTGAATTGCTGCGTTTACTTAGAACAATTTACAGAGTGTATCAAAGCCAAATTTTCAAAATTATAACTAGAAGCTAAAATAAGCATATGAATCATGCACAATATTAATTTTTCTAGTACTATTTAAAGCAAAATAAAAACTCTGACTTTGATCTTGAAAAAGTTCTCATCTTTCATGTCCTACGATTAAAACAGCTAACTAGTTGAATACTATTACAGGCTCGCTGGCTATCAGATATGATTGTTGATCCAACTATAGTCTGTTCAAAATGAGATCGGAAATCAGCGGCGACCAGTTTTTGTTCCGTGACAGTCAGACGCCGTACTACAGCGGTATGTCAGGCGCTGCCACGGAACAAAGCCACGCCCACAACTCGACGACCAAGGTTTGATCTCATTTTGAACAGAGTATAGTATATGGTTCACAAATTGTTGGTAGTAATTATTCTTAGTCTATGCTATTACCAATCAATCAGATACTTCTACACATACAATAAACCACTAAGTACTGTTAATTCCCAAAATATGACACCAAATACCCATTGTTGGTGTACTAAGTGGTAGGGAATACTTTTTGGGTGGGTGTCAACCAAACCAGTACAAAAACATTTTTTCTACAGGTACAATTTATATCTTCTGATTATCGTTTGTATTTGTAACTTGTAAATTAATTCCTTTATTGTAATGTGTGATTTACTAAATAAATATAAATCATAATTTATAACTAGATAAGAAATCAAAGGAAGTCGTCAACTGGTATTCAGTTCTATACACGGAAATCTTAGACATAATAATATGTTATGTGCAGTGCTCGGAATGTTCACTAAAAATATGAATGCGCCACTAGGACATTCATCTAATTTTTTTAAATTATTTATATAAAGAAAATATTATATAATATAATTATTCAATATATTTTTAACATATATTTATTAAATAGAAAATAAATTGAACACCTTCATAATCATTCAAATATAAACGTCGTTCACTTTCAATCTATATAAAACTCGTAACATTCACGTATCTTTCACTAAATATGAATATGAACGTATGAACGATGTTCTTTCCAAACACTGGTTATGTGTATAACACTATGATATTGAAGCTTAACTGATCAACTTGATACAGACTTTTAAATTTGAAATTAACACAGACCACAGCGTAATGGTTTGTATAATAATTGATATTAGAACATTACATTAAATATGTACCAAAGTATTATTAAAATTCATTGTACAAATATAAATACAAAATTAAAGGTATTTAAATCTATTGCACATAAAGTTTAATTTTATTTCTGAAAAAATGAAGCGTAATAATTATTGTATATTAATTATATAAATTTTTTAAATGTCATTATTCATTTGCCTGTTGAGACTCAAATATAGGGTATTTAACTTTAGCTACATTCCAAACAGTGTTGCCTTGTGATAAATTGTATACTAAATCCACAACTTCAGACACCTAAAATAATAAGAATAATGTAAATAAATGTAAATAAGTAATTATTTATT